TGGAGATCAGTGCAAGATACATAGGTTTGTTAACCTGTGAGCCTGGGTTATTCCTTATGCAAGGGTATGTTGCCTAAGAAAGATGGAAACTTTATGGGTGTCTTGGAAGGGTTGCCATGGTTTCCCACAAATGGAACAAATAAGCTTTCCACCCTAGTGGATCGGTGCTCTGGGGAGTGCCTATCCGTTCTAAATAAAGTCTCCTGCAGTTCTTGGATTCACGCGAAGTGCCTTCCTCCCCGGTGCCCTTCGCCAGAGAGGTCCCAAGGCAAACGCTGCTGCCAGCCAGTTGTTCCAGATGTTGAAGCGCCAGCCCGACCCCCCCCGGCCGTTCTCTCTGGCAGGCGTCACATGGACTTGCCATTGCAACATTGGAAGAGAAATTTGCTTTTCATCTCAAATATATGAAGATCATAAAGTGAGGCTGCTCTTTACCGACCGAGAATCAATGCAGAAGGTCTGTGATCATTTTTGATGGAAATTCAAAGCCACACTCTTCTATTATTTTTCCCCATTTTAATGGGTTTACCTGGGGAGTAGCCAGCCGTAGGTGTGCCTACTATCATAAAATATAGGCAGGAGCCCTGGAAATTCCTGCAGACCAGTGGTTTCCAATCTTGGGTAACCAAGATGGTTTTGGACTGCAGTTCCCAGAAGCCTTCACTACTGGCTGGGGTTTCTGGGAGTTGTAGTGGTGATGGCATAAAACGCCTGAGTAACCAAGGTTAAGAACCCATGGTTTCAGAAGATGCTCAGCTGGATTATTTTGACTGGCATCATCATCATCATTTCAACTCATGTTAGAAGAGCAACACGGGCGGGTTGTGAATACTCATTCATCGAGAGAACATTGATTTGGCCGCACCTGTTTCAATACAAATTTTAATTATCCATCCAGAGTTGGCCTTATTTAAGAATTCTTTGTAACAGCCAGGAAAGGTGAAAAAAAAACACGTCATCCTCACTGCTGCTTTAATACCTTTGGGATTAAAAAAAAAAAGGTCCGTCAAATAATAAGATTTGAAAGGAGGCGGGGCTTAATGCATCACGTGCCCCTCCCTAAGGCAGGACCGTCGCTCAGGCCAGACATGGGCCAGGGCGCGCATGCGCACACATTCCCCCTTCGTGATTCCCGCCTTTTCTCGCGAGAGCTTCTTTCGGCGGGCGGCTCCGCTCGGCCGTTGGCGGCCCAGACAAAATGGACGCCGACGCCGCCTCAGCCTCAGCCGTCGAGGCTGGCCTGGCTCCCCCAAGCGCCGCCGCTGCTGCCGCCGCCTCGACGACCAGCCCGGCCCGCTCGGAAGGCGAGGAGGAGCCCTCCACCTCGGCCGCCTTCGCGCCCTCCGCCCCGGAGCCCGACCCGGAGGAGGTAAAGCCCCTGGGCAGAGCGGGAGGAGGAGGAGAGAAGGCTGGAGCTTCCCCTCAGAAAAGGCCGCCCCCTCCCTCTCCTTGCCTCTGGGGCACTCTGTTTATGCCCAGAGGCGCCCTCGCCTTGATGGGAAGGGGGGGACCGAAGGGGCTCCTCAGGCCCCCTTTTTGACCAAGAGAGAGGGCCGCCGGCAGACCCGCCTCGTCGCCGCCCTCAGGAGCTGTGAGAGGCCGAGGGTTTCTCTCCCCCACCCCCCGCATCCTCAGGTGGGCCCCTCAGGCGCCCTTGGACTACCACTCCCAGAAGCCCTTGCCCGCGCAGCCGGTGAGGGAGGCCCTTGGGAGTGGTCGTCCAAGGACCCCTACCTGGTGATGGGGAGGGAGGAAGGGACCCAGCCGAGGTGGGGAAGGAGGGAGGGCGCTGCCGGACTACCGCTCCCATGGTGCCGCAGGCGACGTGGCTTCCTGGGGAATGCTGGGAGTTGCAGTTCGAGGAGCCCGGAGGTTGGGCGCAGGGAGCCGGTTGACAGGGCAAGGCTTGTCTCTGGGTGGCTGGCTTGCCTCTTCTTACCTACCTGCCGCCTACCTGGACCCAGCCGAGGTGGGGAAGGAGGGAGGGCGCTGCCGGACTACCGCTCCCATGGTGCCGCAGGCGACGTGGCTTCCTGGGGAATGCTGGGAGTTGCAGTTCGAGGAGCCCGGAGGTTGGGCGCAGGGAGCCGGTTGACAGGGCAAGGCTTGTCTCTGGGTGGCTGGCTTGCCTCTTCTTACCTACCTGCCGCCTACCTGTCATCGCAGGCTTGTCTCTGGGTGGCTGGCTTGCCTCTCCTTACCTACCTGCCACCTACCTGTCATCGCATAGTCCAGATGGGCGGGATACAAATCAAATAAATAAATAAATACCTGCCACCTACCTACCTACCTGCCTACCTCCCTCCAGTGCCGCCCCATACTACAAAAAAGCGTAAAGGTAGAAACAACAGAGAACAGTACAATGTAAATTACACAGACACATATGGTCGGTAATAAAATCGATCCATCAGCACTGTGTTTTTAGTCTGGGTTGCGTTTCCTGTTTCTCAGAATGGCATTTTGTTTATAATATTTTAACAGTGTTTTGAACTTTAAATATTGACTTTTAATGATGCACACCACCTTTGTATACTTATTGTTTTTCATTCTTCAACATTGTCTTTCTCTAATGAGAAAGGCAGGGTACAAGTAAGTAAATAAATAAATAAAACTACTGAACTAGTGGAATCCATTATTAGATAAATAAGCAGTTTGACAGAGTGTAATGAAAGATAAAGGTGCCAGAGCCAGCTAAATCAGTCCCCGTTTCTTAAAAAAAAAAAGGATTCAAGAAAACTTTGACTACTCCTTAAAGGAGGATATTATCATAAGCACGACTGATTGCTCAGCCTGATTTCTACCTGTTTCTACCTGATTTCAGCCTGATTTCTACCTGTAGCTCTCTGTGTTCCTATTGGAAAGGCTATCTGGTAAGTACATTATAGAGCAAAAATGGCTGAGGAAGTATGTAATAATACACCAAAGCTCACACAGAAATAAATCTGTTAGTCTTTAAAGTGCCGCAACTCATTTGTGTTTTTATTTTTTTATACATGCAGAAACAGGCACCTCAAATATCTGCTTTTCCCTCATCTGCTGTCCCGCTCATTCTCCCGCATGGAAAGCTGCTTACGCTTATGTGTGTCCACTCTCTTGCTTTCTGTCTCTTGAACTGATTTTCACATGGTCCCTTGAAGAACGAGTGTTCAGTGCAGCTTTGTATTCTTTTGTTTCAGTACTATACCTTCCTTCCTCACTCAATTTTTAATTAACAAAATTGCTTGTTTAAAAAATTCCCTCTGTACTGTATGCGACATTTGCAACGCTGGGAAAAAGTTACCTTTTTTCAGAATTTTCAGAAACCAGTTGGGAGACAGTAGTCCAAAAAAGTAACTTTTACTATCGAGATGAGTTGCTCTCTTGAGACCCCTAAATTCATAAAGTCCTTTGGAGTTGAAGAGGTAGTTACGCCGCCCGTTGAACCTTGACCAATATCCCTGATGGTTAAGGAGAAATATTTTGAGAGCAGTTTGAAGTGATGAGCTCTGAGTTTTGGAAGCAGAAATCATTTTCTAATTTCTATATTTTTACAGAGGCAATGATATTCTTCTTTCAGTCCTCAGACATACAGTACCATAATTGCAGAATCTTTTTATTTACAGAAAAATGATCCTCCATTTCAACTCAAACCACCTCCTAAGGTGTCTAAACCTGAAAAAGAAGTTGATCCAGAGTATGAAGAAAAGATGGTAAGTTTCGTGCTTTAGCAGTTTCTTAGGATTCTTTTGCTATAGAATGCATTGAGATAAGCTACAGAAAGATTCCCTCTCCTTCTCCTCATGTTCTTCTGATAATGCCCGTAGGATGTTATAGAATGCCTGACATATCATTACATGCAATATATAATTCACCTTGGACATCTAATATGAGCATGTCCAGTAGTGGCTTGATGTGGCCCAGTGTATTACCTTTGTACAGTATAAGAAAAAATGTTATATTTTTAGATATGCATGCACTTTTAAATTACAGTACTCCTCCCGTATCTGAGGAGTTGGTATCTGCTGCTGTTGCTATTGCTACCTAGCCCTACAGGTGCACTTATCTCCTTCTCTTGCTCTCATCCATTCTCTTTAATGGGTTTCCTCGTACTGTATTTGCGGTTTCCAGTATCCACAGTTGATCTTGGAATGGATTGCCCTTGATATGGGAGGACTAATGTATATTCCTGAACTTTAGAATTTAACTGATGGTCACTGTAGTCGGATTTGACCATTTTCAGAAGACTTTATACTTCAAGTCTGGAAACATAAACATACACCATCTCAGTGGCCAGATGATCTTACTATTTTAGCTGCTCATGATGGCATTTTCTATATTCTCCACTTCTTTTCTCTCTTTACTTTTTTCCTTTCTTCTCTTCATCCAGACTTTTCCCCCTCCTTTGGGTTGGGGGGGGGACTCCAAATAAATGGCTCAATTGGGATTGTAACCTGAGTCTCTCCCCTGCTGACATAGTGCCTTAGTCCAGGTTATTTATTTATTTATTTAATTTTTAAAATTTATACCCTGCCCATTTAGACGCAAGTCTACTCTAGGTTCCAGATTGTTCCATCTTGAGGAGAGGGTACCAAAAAAGCTACAGACAGATTCAGTATCAGACTGATGGTATTTGTCACCCAGTACCACACTCACAGTGGGCGGCTGAGACTGTCACTTGCCTGTGGTTCCATAGTATATCCATGTGAGACTCAAAATTTGAAAAGAGTGCCTTACTCTCTTAGCCATTAGAATTAATAAGCTCCCTCTTTATTTGAACCATGCTCTTCAAAGATGTATTCATTCACAATTAGCAATAATTTGCATACTTATCATCTTCATGCAATTTTGCTTTCTTCTCCAAGTGAGAACATTTTTTGCATGGTAAGCTTGTTTCTATGCCTGAGGAATTTTCCATAGGCTGTGCTTATGCCAAGCCCTCACTTCCTCCTAACAGGTTTGCGGTGGAGAATGTTAGACTATATTATGCTCTTGATTAGGAGGTGTGGGGCGTGCTATCTATATTGGAGGCCACACGTTTTTACCATAGTGCAAATAATTTCTTTCCATTTCTTGTCGAAAACACAGAAAACTGATCGAGCGAAAAGATTTGAATTTCTGCTGAAGCAGACAGAACTTTTTGCACATTTTATTCAACCTGCAGCCCAGAAATCACCGACATCTCCCCTGAAAGTGAAACTTGGAAGACCACGGATAAAGAAAGATGAAAAACAGTGTTTGCTTTCAGCTGGGGAGTACGTCTTTTTTTCATTAAAAAAAGTTTTAATTATTTTTGCATGTATATACTGTATGCATTAAGAAACATATAGTTCAGATATTATATATATATATAGCTCAAAATATTGGCTCAGAGTACTTAAACACATATTAGGATGATAGCTTGTTTTGTCTGCAAATCTGTGTTCTGTTAACTCTGATCCCTTTGAAGTTATCCGGAGGGCATGCAAGATTGGTTGGGTGATTAAAACTCTGAATGCATTCTGCTGTTGTTTGGTTGTTGTTGTTATGTCCTGACTTGTTTTAAAAGCTTTCTCCTGTTTGTAAATAACTTTCTAAAAAAAGGAAGCATTTTGTTTTTAAAGCATTTTCTACATAATATTTATCACTTACTCCCTCTAATGTCCAGTTTTGGTAACAACATTATTAGAATGATACATTTTTTAGTACCGTTTCCCCAAAAATAAGACTTAAACTGAAAATAAGCCCTAGTATGATTTTTCAGGATGCTTGTAATAGAAGCCCTACCCCCAAAATAAGCCCCAGTTAAGTGAAACCTCGCCCTCCACCATTGTGCTGCAACTAGAAGATGCCATGACTGTATTTGAATAAATGTAGATTGTTGTCCATGAAAAAAATAAAACATTCCCTGAAAATAAGCCCTAATGCATTTTTGTAGCAAAATGGTCGAGTGGTGAACCAGACCAGATGGGTGGGATATAAATCAAATAGAAGATGAGATGACTGTAAAATAAAACATCCCCTGAAAATAAACCCTAATGGATTTTTGGAGTGAAAATTAATATAAGACCCTGTCTTATTTTAGGGGAAACACAGTACAGTATATTTTTATTATTTTCATACTGTGCATAGGTAAATCAGTGGATACAGATCTTGTGGATAAGAGGGTCCCATTGTATAGAAGGGTTGTTGCCAAAAACATTTCAGCTATGTCTGATTTAACTTTGTGTGTTTTGTAGTTATCGCCACAGGCGCACAGAGCAAGAAGAAGACGAGGAACTGCTATCTGAGAGCCGGAAAACTTCAAACGTGTGTGTTCGGTTTGAGGAATCTCCTTCCTGTGAGTTTACTCAGGGGTAACTTTCTGCTTTGACACAGATGAGTTAAGAAATGAAATGGTACTGCAGTCAGATGTACTGTACATAAAACCAAACAGTGTCTTCCATTCTTGCAGATGTTAAAGGAGGGACCTTACGAGATTATCAGGTTAGAGGCTTGAACTGGTTGATCTCTTTGTACGAAAATGGCGTGAATGGAATTTTGGCAGACGAAATGGTGAGTAGCTCATGTTTTGGAATCCTTAATTTATGGGGAGAGAATGTTGTGTGACTCTGATAGAAAAATAGGATTTCTAGCAAACAAAACTCATGAAGGTTGTGAATGGTAGGTACAGACTGGAATAAATTGTTTTTGAAGGGGAATGCACCTGTTCGTTGAAGTTAGCAACCACAAGACACAGGTCTGCAGGTCCTGGGCTTCTTAGGAGAAGCTCATTCATCACATCCCAAACTGCATTTTAATCTTTCACTAAGACCCCCATATCTGTAGGATCAGTATCTGCTGATTCACTTATCTGTGGTCTGAAAAATTTTAAAATCCTAGAAATATATATTTTTACTTATAAAGTTATCAGGACTGGCTACTAGAGGGAGCCAGAGACTATGCTGTGTATAGCGTTTGCTGTTGAAATAGTGTTTGCTATAATTCATGTTTTTCAGCATCCGTGGGGAAGGGGGGCTTGGAACCGATCCTCTGTGCACATGGGGGTTCTACTTTATATGAATTTAAGATGTGGTTTTTAGGGAACGGCTCATCCCATTCTACATGTTTCATGGTCGTTCCATTGCAAATAACACTAAGAAAAATTGCATGCCATTAATCTGATTCTGACTTATGGCGGCTCTTTCCATGGTTTTCTAGGTATGAAATATCCAGAAAAGGCTTACTGTTTTCTCCTTCTGGGGGTATACTGGGACTGTGCACAGGTTGGCTGTTCAAGCCTATACATTATTGACCAACTTTGGGCATGATTGTGGAGGGATGTTTCATCCATCCACCTGGGTGATCATGCAGCAGTGTTGTTCCTGTGTGTTCCCTCCTTCTTTTCCCTTTCTCCCTTCACCAGCATGCCATAGCATAACAGTTGCAGGGTTTGTTGAGTCCCCATTTCTTGTTACATCCAAAGAATGAGACCATGGTTTATTCATTTCAAGCTGAAAATGCCTGTTTCTACCATAAGATGAACATTGTGTTTTCTTATTTGAATGTCATGGGAAACTGGCTTAATAAACCTCTGCTCACTTTTGGCCCTGGTTTATTAGAACAACATAGCTGTGTACGAACCAGCTCTGCTGTTAGTTCACATTATGAAGGGAAACTGTTGTTGGATTTAAGTGGAAATGCACATGGAATGACAGAGAAATGGAGTATCATGGTGTGCTCGTCACTAACATTTCTCGTTCTTTTGTGGTTTGAGACAAGTCTTTTCTGCGTGTAGAAAATTAACAAAACAGCAGGTAATTCCATAAGTCAAGGACCAACAGTTGGATGTAATTCAAGATGAAGCTGCATAATGAATAACAGTAATACAGACTGAAGTTCAAATATTCTATCGCAACGAGACTGTGCAAAATTGTAATTAAAATTTTCAATAACTGTAGTATTTCTTAGGTATCGAAATGCTTATGAGAAAGTGTAATTTTATTGTTTGAAAGCAAGCTCTAACTGAATTACAGAACTGTAATTTGCATATTGCAATATAATTGAAATTATGGCCGATTTCGGTTCCATAGATTTTGCGTTGCTTTTCCCAGCACTGCTATGGATGGAAATTAATTCAGCCCTGCAAAAAAGTGTTGCATAACTTTAAATTATTAATTCCTTTGTAGGGTCTAGGAAAAACACTGCAGACTATTGCGTTGTTGGGCTATCTAAAACATTACCGAAACATTCCTGGCCCACACATGGTTCTGGTGCCGAAATCAACCTTGCACAACTGGATGAATGAATTTAAACGCTGGGTGCCATCATTGCGTGCTGTTTGCCTCATTGGAGACAAAGATGCTAGAGTAAGTAAAATGTAATGGAGCAGTCCTTTGCACATCATTGTGTGGGATACCAAGAACTTTTTCTCTGCACCTTTCATTTAATGGCCAAAACCCTATAACATTTTTATTTCTGCCCTAGTGCAATGAGTACAGGTCTCAATGGTGAGTTTGCTGCCAAGATTTAGGCCAGTTGCGTTAGGCCAGTGGGTGGAACTAGCAGGATTTTGACCACTGTGGGGCATTTACAGAATATGTTATGGTTGTTACGTGCCATCTAGTCACCTCCGACTTAATGGAAACCAGATGAATGAC